CCATCTCCTGCTGTTTGCGTCTTGCAGGATGGGCCTCCAGCATGAGCATGTTAACTGAAAACCAGCAGATCAGAGGCAGATGTCAGCATATCAGTGAAGGATACAGAGCACAACTCCACATCCTGCCTTTTTCTTCTCCAACTACCTTCTTGTTCCTGAAACAGGAGCACCAGAGCTTTTCCCCACACAGATGAACTCACAAGGCATTCATTTATACTGGAGACCCACGCAGATGTGCTGGAAAGAACCAGTGAACCTTCAATAACAATGTTGGAACAGGGGAAGTACTACAACATTTCTGGAACCTTTACCATTAAAGAGAAAACACCATCTATAAATATAAGGTCCAAATAAAATGTGACTATAGTAAGACGATGTGGCAGAAACCCAAAAGTTTCCATCTAAATAATATGAAATGTAAAAATCAACACAAGGCTGATTTATGTTGTGTCTCTCAGTGAGCAGCTGTGATCAGCAGCACCACGGAGATGTATCAGTGTCCCCACCTGGTGAAACATTCAAACCAGGATGGATATCTGTCATATTTACTACCTAAAACTGATGTTTTAAATCATTCTAAGAAGTTACCCTCAACCTGCTGCTCATCTGAAATGTTAAACAGATTTAGAGATGTCTAGAGAAAACATCCTGTCTGCCTGATGAGTGTTCAGAGGGATTTTTAAGCATTTATGATTTCTCAAACTTAAATCCTAAAGCAGTTGCTAACATGTCCGTTCCAAGTTCTGGTGTTTCTTGGGTCAAAAAAAGGGACCAAAATGCTCAACCAAGATGGTCCATCCACATGCTCCATTATGATGCTCCACCATGATTCTCTACCAAAGAAGCTCCACCAAGATGCTCCACCATGATGTTCCACCAAGATGCCCCAACAAGATTCTCCAACCATGAGGCTCCACCTATTATCTCCACCAAGATGCTCCACCATGATGCTCCACCAAGATGCTCCACCATGATACTCCACCATGATTCTCTACCATAGAAGCTCCACCAAGATGATCCATTTAGATGCTCCACCAAGATGATCCACCATGATGCTCTTCCATGATGCTCCACCATCATGCTCCACCGAGATGTTCCACAAAGGTGCTCCACCATGATACTCCAACAAGATTTTCCACCAAAATTCTCTACCATGATGTTCCACAATGATGCTCCACCAAGATTCTCCACCTTGATGCTCCACAATTATGCTCCACCAAGATTCTCCAGCAAGATGATCCACCGTGATGCTCCACCATGATGCTCCACCAAAATTCTCCACGATGATGCTCCACAATGATGCTCCACCAAGATTCTCGACCATGATGCTCCACCAAGATTCTCGACCATGATGCTCCACCAAGATTCTCCACCTTGATGCTCCACAATGATGCTCCACCACGATTCTCCACCGAAATGCTCCACCAAGATGCTCCACCATGATGGTCCACCAAGATTCTCCACCAAGGTGCTCCACCATGATGCTCCACCAAGATTCCCCACCAAGATGATCTACCATGATGTTCCACCAAGATGCTCCACGATGATGCTCCACAATGATGCTCCACCAAGATTCTCGACCATGATGCTCCACCAAGATTCTCGACCATGATGCTCCACCAAGATTCTCCACCTTGATGCTCCACAATGATGCTCCACCACGATTCTCCACCGAAATGCTCCACCAAGATGCTCCACCATGATGGTCCACCAAGATTCTCCACCAAGGTGCTCCACCATGATGCTCCACCAAGATTCCCCACCAAGATGATCTACCATAATGTTCCACCAAGATGCTCCACCATGATGCTCCACCAAGATTTTCCACCAAGATTCTCCCACATGATGCTCCACCAAGATGCTCCGCCATGATACTCCACCAAGATTCTCCAGGATGATTCTCCACAATGATGCTCCACCAAGATTCTGCATCGAGATGCTCCACAATGATGCTCCACAAAGATTCTCGACCATGATGCTCCACCGAAATGCTCCACCAAGATGCTCCACCATGATGCTCCACCAGGATTCTGCATCGAGATGCTCCACCATGATGCTCCACCAAGATTCTCGACCATGATGCTCCACCAAGATTCCCCGCCAAGATGCTCCACCAAGATGATCCACCATGATGTTCCACCAAGATTCTCCACGATGATGCTCCACAACGATGCTCCACCAAGATTCTCGACCATGATGCTCCACCAAGATTTTCCACCTTGATGCTCCACAATTATGCTCCACCAAGATTCTCCAGCAAGATGATCCACCGTGATGCTCCACCATGATGCTCCACCAAAATTCTCCACGATGATGCTCCACAATGATGCTCCACCAAGATTCTCGACCATGATGCTCCACCAAGATTCCCCACCAAGATGCTCCACCAAGATGATCCACCATGATGTTCCACCAAGATTCTCCACGATGATGCTCCACAACGATGCTCCACCAAGATTCTCGACCATGATGCTCAACCAAGATTCTCCACCTTGATGCT